TAAAGATGTTTTGATTAATATTCCCTAAAAGAGCAGCGGATTGGAAATAAGTTTGGGAATTTGATTTCATTTCAAAATTTTGTAAGGATCTTGGCCTAAAATTTTGCCTGGGACTCTTTCATATTCCCCAGATTTTGTGCTGTGGATGTCTATGCTGACCTAACTTGGCTTTGTCCTGAGGCTCACAGAACCCATGGCCAATGAGGAGCTTTTCAGTTAAGTGTTTTCCTGGGGCTCTGAAGCACTTGTGTCCAAGATTTTTCCATTAAGAGTCTTTTCTGGGGCTTGGAGTGATTGCAATTCCACTTATAATGTAGTGTTTATCATTTGGTTTCTCGTTATATTCAAATGATGGAAGAAGAACGAAAGAGTCTATTACTGATCAGAGTATTCCAGTCTTTCATCTTTAATAGTGTCCATGAAAGAATCAGTGGGAACTCTGATGGACTGGAGGCCAAGTCTAGTGATCTTTATTTTGGATGGTGGCCTCATTGAGGGTACTGGCTATAACCACTAATATTTTTACCTTTCCCAGTATCTTTTTCCATATTTAAAACCAAAGGGTACAGTTGAGGGTCTGGGAGTTTCCAAGTATGTGATAAAAGCATTAAGTACTCCTGCCTCTCCTGTGTAGACCTCCTCAGTCCTCTGCTCTTGGCTGCATCTCACTGCACTGGAATCTCTCTGCAACTGGTACCGTGTGCAAAGAGAGCAAAGACTGTGTGCCTTTGAAATATGCGTATGCACAGATCCTAGACCTAATCATAAAGCTTCTATAAGAAGACATAGGAGAATATGTTCGGGACTTTGGGGTAAACAGAAGTCCCTTAAGCAAGGGCACAGAAAACATTAACCATAAAAGAAAAATAAATTGAACTACTTTACAATTGGTAAAATTGATAAACTGAACTCCTTCACAATTTCTGCTTATCAAAAGACTTCTTTTGGAAAATAAATGGACAGCAGACTGGGAAAATATGACATTAAGAATATGTTAAGAACGCCTATGACTCAGTAATAAGACAAATGATCTAATTTAAGAAATGACCAGAAAACTTGAACAAATGCTTTATGATGGAAGATAGAGAGGTGGCCAATAATCATATGAAAAAATGTCTAGCATCATTAGTTATCAGGTAAATGCAAATTAAAGCCACCAGAATGGCTAAAATGGAGAAGACTGATAACATCAAATGTTGGTGAGCATGTGGAGCAACAGTAATGCTCATACATTACTGATTTGAGTATAAAGTGATGCTTCCACTTTAGAGAGGGAACGTACCTCAGCATAATTAAGGCCATGTGTGGCACCTCCACAGTGAATATCATGTGGTTGAGAAGCTGAAAGCTTTTCCTCTAAGACCAGGAACAAGACAAAGATGTCCACTGTTACCACTTTCATTCCACATAGTATTAGAAGTTGTAGCCACAGCAGTCAGACAAGAAAAAGAAATAAAAAGCATCCACATTTGTAAGGAAGAAGTAAAGCTCTCACTACTTGCAGATGACATGGTCCTATATAGAGAAAACCCTAAAGATGCCAACCAAAAAACTTTGGTTGGTGAATTCAATGAAGTTGTGGGATATGAAGTCAATATGTAGAAATCTCTTGTGTATCTATACGCTATTAATGAAATAATAGGAACGAAGATGAAATAAACAACCCCATTTACAATTGCATCAGAAGAATAAAATACCTAGGAATAAACTTAACTGAGAGGTGAAAGACCTGTACTCTGAAAACTATAAGACACTGATGATTGAAATTGAAGACAACACAAATAAGTGGAGAGAGAGATTCCATGCTCATGGGTTGGAAGAATTAATATTGTTAAAATGTCCATACTACCCAGAGCGATGTACAGATTCAAGCAGTTCCTATCAAAATATCAGAACTAGAACAAAAAAAATCCTAAAGTTTGTATGGAACCACGAAAGACCCCGAATAGCCAAAGCATTCTTGAGAAAAAAGAACAAAGCTGGAGGTATTACAACTCCTGAATTCCAACTATCCTACAAAGCTATAGTAATCAGAACAGTATGGTACTGGCACGAAAATAGACATAATAGATCAATGGAACAGGATAGAGAGCCCAGAAATAAACCCACAATTATATGGTCAATTAGTCTATGACCAAAGAGGCCAAAATACACAATGGGGAAAAGACTGTCTCTTCCATGAATGGTATCGGGAAAGTGGACAGCTAGCTACATGCAAAAGAATGAAACTGAACCACATTCTTATATACCATACACACAAATTAAAAATGGATTAAATGTGAGACAGGAAGCCATGAAACTCCTAGATGAAAACATAGGCAGTCATCTCCTGGACATTAGCCTTAGCAAGAGTTTTCTGGATCTGTCTTCCCAGGTAAGGGAAACAAAACAAAGAACCTGTTGTGACTACACCAAAGTAAAAGGTTTTTGCACAGCAAAAGAAACCATAAAGAAAACAAAAAGGCAACCCAGTGAAGGGGAGGAGATATTTGTAAACGATATATCCAATAAAAGGTTAATATGCAAAACATGTCAAGAATTCATATAACTCAAAACCAAAAAAACCCAAACAATCTGATTAAAAAATGGGCAGAGGACCTAGATAGACATTTTTCCAAAGATGTTCAGATGGCCAGCGGACACATGGAAAGGTGCTCAACATCACCGATCATTACGGAAAGCAAATCACAAACGTGATGAGATACCACCTCACACCTGTCAGAATGGCTGTTATCAAAAAGACAAAAAAAAAAGTATTGGCGAGGATGTGGAGCAAAAGGAACCTCATGCACGGTTGTTGGGAATGCAAACTGTGCAGCCACTGTGGGAAACAGCACGGAGGTGCCTCAAAAAATTAAAAATGGAGCTACCATATGACATAGTAATTCTACTTCTGGATATTAAAATGAAGAAAATGAAAACACTAATTTGAAGATATGTGCTCCCCTATGTTTATTGCAGCATTATTTACAAAGCCAAGTTATGGAAGCAGCCCAAGTATCCGTCCATTGACATAAACATACACTGGAATATTACTCAGCCATAAAAAGAATGAGATTTTGCCATTTGCAATGACGTGGTTGGACCTAGAGGGTATAATGCTAAGTGAAATAAGTCAGAGACCAATACCACATGATCTCACTCATATGTGGAAGCAAAGCAAATGAGCAAGCAATAACAAGAGAGAAACAGACTCATAAATTCAGAGAATAAACTAGTGGTCGCCAGGGTGGGGGAATGGGTGAAATGTGTGAAGGAGTTGGAGGGGTACAGAATTCCAGTCATAAAATAAATAAGTCGCAGGGATGAACGGAGCGGCATAGGGAATATAGTCAGTAATACTCTAGTAACTATGAGGTGACAGATGGTAACTACACTTATTATGGTGAGCATTTGATAATGTCTGTAACTGTCAAACCACTATGTTGTACGTGCCGAAACTAGTATTATATGTCAACTCCACTTCAATTAAAAATAAAAAGATTAGTACAAAAAATGATGCTCCTACTTTAGAAAATGTCTGGTGGTCCTGTGGGCTGGGCAGGGGGCGGAGATCGAACGTGAACAGGAATAATACAGAAGAGAGAAATAATATGGTGGAATCCAGAAAGGCTGTGAGAATTTAGGGAAAGAAGGGGCAGCCTACACCAGAGAGCACAAAGACCAGCATCAGGGAAGGGTGGTGAGCAGGGTGCTGCAGTGGGGAGATGTGGGAGCCTGCCTGCTTATTTTCTTATTCTGCCTGGAACGTCCTTGCCTGGCTGACTCCTTCTTAGTCTCCATCTTGTGGAGAATCAGCTCTCATCTATATTTCATCGTAAGAAGGCATCCAATGAACGGGTGTTGACAGAATGAGAAAACACACACATCCAAGTTGTCCCATTTGGCTGGCTCACAGGTGGGCAATGGGACCTAGAGTTACAAGGGCAGATTGGGGGGCCAGGGAAGGCTCTGGGCCTGTGGGTATAGTGCTGAAGGGTTTGCCAGTGTTTCTGAGATGGCGTGACAGGCTCTGAACTGTGCTCCTGGAACGCTAGCCTGGCGGCTACCCGTGCATGCATTAAAGAAGGTCCCGAAAGCTGATAAGAAGACCATTTAGATTCATCTTTCAGGTGAGGGTCCAGGTAAGGGCCGTGCCGGTGGGTGTGGAGAAGGGGCATTGAGGAGCGCAGGCTGGTTGTGGTCTGTGCTCACAGAGGTATCTGGGAAACATTTATTGCCTAGGCTCCCCGAGGGGGAGAACCACCTCCGTAAGCAGTGTGGCCTTGAGCAGCAGGAGGGGCTGGGGTGGTCCTTCTTGCCAGGGAGCTGTGGCACAGTGCGGGGCGGTCGTGCAGTAATTGGAGGCCCTCCCCCCCAAGCTCAGGGCTGCTCTCTGACACTCTGGGGTGCATGATTTTGCATAGATGTTCATTCCTCTCTGAGCTTCAGATTTCCTTGTCTATGAGCTGGGGTGATTCCTGGGATTATTGTAATGATGAAGTAAGGTGTGGTAATGTCGCTGGCATGGAAGGAACGCAAGTTGTTACTACTACATCATGGGGTTGTGGAGAGAATTCAGTCAGGTCACGGATGAAGGAAAACTCTTTATGAGTATGAAGGCTTAAGTCTAAGTTAGGTGTTATGATTATTGACAATTTGTTGTCTGGTTACGTGGTTCCATACATTCTCTGTTTTGAGCAGTTTTGTATTTGATGAAAGTCCCTGCCCAAATCCTAGCGTCTAGGGGAACTATTGTTCTTTCTCTTTTATAAAGGAGCTAAAAGTAGACGTCATGTGCTATGTAGCAAATGTGTTTGTTCCAGAGAAGACAGGCCTTCCTAGCCAAGGGACAGGGCGAACTTGAAGAGGTGGGCCTCATAAAGGCTTTATGCATCACAGTGCATGGTGCAGGCCTGGCCTTTCTCAGGGTTTCATCATGTCTCTGTTTTATGAAAAAGTTTTTTTTTTTTTTTTTTATGTGTTTCCTTTCTCAAAAGTTTTTTTACTCTGTGCTTCAGCTTTCTGAAGAAGAGAAAATCCAGCGGTATAGCATCCTGTCTGAGCTCTACGAGCTGATTGGCTTCCATCGGAAGTCTGCGTTCTTCAAGCGCGTGGCGGCCATGCAGTGTGTGGCTCCGAGCATCTCGGAGCCAGGGTGGAAGGCCTGCTACAAGCTCCTCCTGGAGACGCTTCCTGGCTACAGTCTGTCGCTGGACCCCAAAGACTTTAGCAAAGGTACTGAAAGTCTCATTGCTGGAACTGAGATGTTGCTGGAATCCAATTACTTGTGCATTGTTCAAGCACTTCCTCTCCCAGTTAGATGGTGGGGTTCAGAGATGATGAAGCATCATCCTGCCCTTGGTTACTTACAATACAGTTACAACAAAAAGTAGTGGTGCTTTGCTTGGGGGCTGGCATCCTTTTGGCTGGTCCCTTTCCTGCCCCTGCTAGTCGTGATTGGAGTTAAGGGCAGAAATAACTGGACAAGCCATGGACACCTGTGGGGTTTACAGTCAAAAGGCTCCATGTTGCTCGTGGAGGAGCTGTTGGAGCCGTGGAGGTGGGTACGAGCTCACTTAGGCCACCTTCCCGAGAGGTTTCATGGAAGGAGGTTAGTGTTCGGGAAGTGGGCAGAGTTTTTAGAGCAATCACACGGTTGCTCTGTAGAGAGAGGATAAAGTGTATTTGAAAAGTTCCCAGTTGCGCAGGGAATGGAATCCCCATTTACTGTGCTTTAGGGAGACTGGAGGCAAGGTCCCACTGGCTCTCCAGGTACTTTTTTATGGTATCCTGTGAACGTAACTCCAGGCTGGCTCCAGAGGGAAAGCAGGCTGCCGGGCTTTGTGCAGGTCACCCCAGGAGTTGTCTGATGTGTCCTGGGATGCATACCATCTGAGAGTCCAGAGTCGGAGGCCTTCTTCTGGGATGCTCTTCCTTGCTCCTCACTGTGGAGCTGCCAGCCGTCCTTTGGGTCTTGGCTGGCTGTCACTACTGCAGAGAGGTCCCCTGTGGCCCCCAGCCTATGCAGACTCCCTTGATTTTTCCTCTTTCTTTCTTTCTTTTTTTTAAAGAGCTTATTTATTTATTTTAGAGGGAGATAGAGAGTGAGCGAGAGTGTGTGCGTGAGCGGGGGAAGGGGCAGAGGGAGCGGGAGAGAGAGAATCCCCAGCAGGTCCCACGCCTAGTGCGGAACCTGATGCTGAGCCACCCAGGCGCCCCTTATTTTTACTCTTTCATTTTACTCTTTCACTCCTTATTTTTACACCCCTGTTTTTCTTCCTTATGGCACCCCTATAATTTGCAAGTGCATTTAAAAATCAGTTGGGGTTGGGGCACCTGGGTGGCTCACTCTTGATCTTGGCTCAGGTCATGATCTCGGGGTCATGAGATGGAGCCCCACGTCGGGCTCTGCACTGGGTGTGGAGCCTCCTTAAAGAAAAATCAATTGGGGTAATGATTTAATGCATCCCACGCCAGCCTGTGTGTCTACGAGAGCAGAGCCCCTGACTCTCCCTGTGGCCCCTGGGTGGCACATGGCAGGCATCCCAGGAGCTACGTGGCATGTAGGACCAAACCCTAAAGAGCAGCTGCAGCCTGGGTTGCCACTTGTCAAATAGAATTTCTTGGTCTTAATTTTTAAAGCAGATGAACAAAGTGTTTCTTTTGCAAAATAAAGCAAGGACATCTCCGAGTGATTTGGTACTTTTTACTTAGCCTTCTGTTTTGGGAGGAGACATTTGCCATCATTTTGTGAAAGAGGTGGAGAGAAGGTTAGGAAGTGAGATCAAATGAAGTACAAATGATAAATGTTGGCTGGCTGTATTTTTAATAGGAAATAAAAATCACTTTAAACTCCATCTCCACTGTTGCTCTGGACCACTTCAAACATTTCTCAGAGAATTAAATAGAAATGTACTCAAAAACCCTGCACCTGTGGATAGAAGTAAATTGTATTCTCAGGACCCAAAATGTATTTCTGTTTCTCAAAATGAACATTTTCACTAGCTGGTCACAGAAGGTCAGGGCAGGTACACAAATACGGACTGTGTGTATTTGCCCCCTTAATGGGCTGCTGGTTATCACTTGAATCTACTTGTGTTGCTGTATATGAAGATTTAGGAATATACTGTGTATGGAGATGAGCCTTTTCCCGAGTGAGGGATTCGGTCTTCCCTAGGAGCTCGTACGAGAGAGAGACTGGCAGGGCAGGTGGATTTGCTTTAAGGCAATAGTTGTCATAAACTCCCAAATCAGGAACTTCTTGAATGCAAGAGTGTTGAAAATGTTATCACTTGGTCATATGTTGCGAATCTGGCTTATGAATAAAACGAATCAGGTTTTATTGGAGGAGCGATTTGAATCACATAGAAATTGTGACTTGTACACTAGTGTTAAGAAAATTTATATTTATTCTTACAGTTGCCTGTGGTAGAAACTGTATCATCATGTATTTAAAAAAAAATCAACATGGTGATATTTGCCCAATTTTAAGGTGAGAAAACCTTCTTGATACCGTAGTGTTGAGATTAGTTAAATTGGGTTATTGAGAATTCATGGCTTGGTTCGTCATGAAGTTGATTCCAGCTTCTTAATCCTTTTAAAAATCTCTTATTCGTTTTGGCATTTGGTCTTCGCTTGTTTAGATGATGAAAATACTGCAGGGACTTGTCTTTCTGTCCTTCCCTGTCATATGGTAAGTGTCGCAGCTTTACGTTCCAAAAGGTTTTTGTAAGATAGGCTTTAGGACACAAGGTAATTTTGGGGGTGTGTGTGTAGGTTTGGTCACTTCCAAGAATTTAAACGTAAAAAGTTATTTTGAAGTAATTTAAATACATACGAATTAAAGAGAAAAGTACAATGAGTCCATCATCACCCAGAGTAAGTGATTATCAAGACTTTGCCACATGGGCTTTATTTTTACTTTTTTTTCTTTTATTTGTTCTTTGTTGAATTATCTTAGGGCAAACCCCAGAAATCATGTCGTTTCACCCTACATACTCAGTTGGATGTCTGGAAAATAGGGGCACTGTGTTTCATCAGGCTTTCAACTTGACCCACGTGCCTGTGGAGATGCAGTTGTGCGCCAGGCATCCCACTAGGCGTTAAGGATACTTGGGTGCATAAGACACAATCCTGGCTCCGAGGGAAATTGAGGATTGTGGAAGGAATAAATACACGGGCTTGCATGTGCCTCACTGTACCTGCCGGATAACGCCTGTGGGTCAGATTTTGTGCACGATGCAGCAGAAGTACACAAAAGAGCTGGCCAGCCATGTGGCGCAGGGCAGTGGGAGAGGAGTTCCGTAGGGATGGGGCAGGAGGAGCCCCTGGTTGGAGTCTTCATCTTTCTGCCCAGCCCCCAGGGCCCCAGACACAATACTGTGCCGTAACCTGTTTGTGTTGAATCCTCTTATGGGGGTCTCCTTCATGAAGGATTTCAAGGTAGAGAATATTTAAAAGTAATTATTGCCAGAAGGGAGATGGAATAATAACTCTAAGAGTCTGTTGTCTTTATGTTTTAAAGATTTTATTTTTTTATTTGAGAGGGAGCACAAGTAGGGAATAGGCAAAGGGAGAGGCAGGCTCCCTGCTCAGCGGGGCTTGATCCCAGGACCCGGGGATCACGACCCGAGCTGAAGGCAGTTGCTTCACTGACTGAGCCCCCCAGGTGTCCCTAGATTGTGTGGTCTTAAAGAGGTACTTTTCACTGGCTGTGCAACCGACCCCCGACCTTAAATTTAAACCACACTAATTTGTTTGGAGGGAGCAGCTGCAAAAGTCAGTTGTTAACCTTTTTTCTAATTTAGCTATCTGCTTTTATGAGTTTTTCTTATACGTTAAATTAAAAAAGCACATTTTCCTAGTGTCCTTGGTTGTTGCTTATGAAGGCCCATCACATACCAGTACTTTTTTTTTTAAATTGTATATCTGTAACTCAAATACATGCCATTGGAAACATAGTCTTTTGTTATAACCTTACCATAATGATCTCAGTTGTTATTTTTAAATTGTGTCTTTGCAGAAGAGAAAAAGTATTCCATGAAACATATCTTTTCATGGTATGAAAAAAACCTATCACTTACAAGTTCTTTCTGGAGAAAGTTAAACACAGGAAGTGTTTTTTCTTGCCCTTTGGGTTTGGTCATTGAGGCATTTGTCTTTAAGTCACAAGTTTTACACATACCATTAAACGTATTTCCAAGGAAGGCTCACGTCTTTGGTTCTGTTGCCAACACGCCCTCGTGGAGCCCTTTGAGGACACTTTGTGACTTCCATCACAGGCACGCACCGAGGCTGGGCTGCCGTCCAGATGCGCTTACTTCACGAATTGGTCTACGCGTCCCGAAGAATGGGGAATCCTGCTCTTTCTGTCAGGCACTTGTCCTTCCTGTTGCAGACCATGCTGGACTTTTTGTCAGATCAAGGTGAGTGAATTGAGTGAACGAGAGCACCCTTCATGCTGGCCCGGATAGATGCGAGCTTAGCTTCAGGTGGGTGACGCTTCCCAGTCCTCCACTGGTTAGGAGACGCCGTGCTCCACCGTGTCCTTAGCTCCCCGTGCTGCCCTTGCTGTCCTCCCGGGGGGCCTGACGCCGCTGTCCACCATGCCTTCTCTCCTCTCCTCCCCGGGCCCCCGTGCTGCCCTTGCTGTCCTCCCGGGGGGCCTGACGCCGCTGTCCACCATGCCTTCTCCCCTCTCCTCCCCGGGCCCCCGTGCTGCTCTTGCTGTCCTCCCGGGGGGCCCGATGCCGCTGTCCACCTTCTCCCCTCTCCTCCCCGGGCCCCCGTGCTGCCCTTGCTGTCCTCCCGGGGGGCCTGACGCCGCTGTCCACCATGCCTTCTCCCCTCTCCTCCCTGGGCCCCCGTGCTGCCCTTGCTGTCCTCCCGGGGGGCCTGACGCCGCTGTCCACCGTGCCTTCTCCCCTCTCCTCCCCGGGCCCCTGTGCTGCCCTTGCTGTCCTCCCGGGGGGCCTGACGCCGCTGTCCACCATGCCTTCTCCCCTCTCCTCCCCGGGCCCCCGTGCTGCCCTTGCTATCCTCCCGGGGGACCTGACGCCGCTGTCCA